GCTTCTCGCTGTGGCGGCTTGGGTTCGAGCCCATGTAAGGTCATGTGGGATTTTTGGTGGACATAGTGGCACTGGGGCAGGTTTTCTTCGAGTACTTTGGTTTCCCCTGCCAATTCTCATTCCACCGACTGCTCCACATTCATCATCTACCATTCGGGACTGTACAATATGCCAGTTAGTGGCCGACGTACGAAGTAGACAGTCTCACTCCATCCAAAGAAACTAAAGGAACTAGTTAGTTAGTTATGGAGTGTTTAACGAAGCCCTCGGTAACTGTGACTATAGAGCGTCGAATGATAAATGATTAGGAAATAATAAACTGGAAAGATGGAAAAATGTCAGTCATGTTATCGGGTCTCTGGAACCTCCCAAATATGAAACAGGAGTTCTGATCCCTCCACTGCGACATCCGTTCAGCTTTTCTTGACCAGCTGAGTAACAGTCAACTTCTCAATTAATGTCCTGTAAAACTGAGGAAAGAGATTCAATTCCAGTGCCTTCTAAATATTAATAAAAAAGCGTTATGCTGCGTGCTAGTGACCTGTTTTCCGCATTTGGGACTCTAACCGAAGGACCTTGGGTAGCAGCCCGTCCTTTCTGATTTCTTTGTTAGCAACCAGATGCACAGTTTTAAATGTGATTACGTGCAGGTAACTATTTTGTATTTTTCAATCCTACACAACACACACACACACACACGCACACACACACACACACACACATATATATACATATATATACACGTTTCAATTGCCTTTCCCTTTACATCTTGAACTTATATATCACCCTCTTTCAGTTCTCAAATAATGTGAACTAAAATTATTATATTTTCTTCAGTGGTATTTTGTACCTACTTCTTAGTCTTCATCACAAATATGTATCTCATTATCAAAATGATCTTTTCATTTGTAACCTAAATTTGACTCCATAATTTAGTCTCAGAATATTTTGATATTGTTGTATATTGGATTTTCTTCCTCAACAGACATCGCGTATTTCACTTATTTGTTTTACATTTAAATTTCTTTATTTTCCATATGCTCAAAAAAAACTCATCGTAAGTTTCCCTGAAGTTTTGGCTAAATATAATAGTACGTTGTTCGCGTCCCCGCTCAAACTTCATTAATTTGTAAAGATATGACGTAGGGCTATCATTTCACATCCGGAAATAATTGGTCGATTATTATGCATTTTTAATCAAATGCGTTCCATGCAGAACTCCTAAAGCATTTGCATAAATTTCTAGTCATACAAATCTATCGCTGGACTATTCAGGTACAAAATATGTCTACGTTAAATTTGTCGGATATAATGTCAAAGATTCGCACCACCGCCATATTTGTGATTCTTGACCTACAAACTATAGTTTATGCGTAATTGTGAGATTTATGACCTATATCTCTTTCAAATTTTACATCCCTAGCTTCCGTGATTTATTAAATATCGCCATCAGACGGAAAGGTGAGATATATTTCTCAAGTCCTTCTTATTATTTATTTTTCATTTTACAAAACATCTGCTTTAGAAATTGCGCTTGCATTGCGTAGGCTATTCTGTAAATTACCAGCGCAAATGAAAAGTTAATGGGGAAAACGTGTAAAATTATTATCTTTAATTTACAACCATGTGTAAGTAACTCAGTATTTGTCTGTATTTGGTGGTGTCCTTGTTTGTGTAGAATGTTGTGAGGCGCAACTTCTTTCTGCTTCACGTCGCCATATTATCTTCTTTTGGACAGTAAATGGCGGTTAGTATTTCGTTTCAGAGTTAATGGGTTTGCGGTTGTTTACATATATATGTAGGCATGATTGTATGCAACGTGAAAAGCCAGAGCGCGTTTTGTGAAGGTCGTATGTCTCATTCATTTTTAATGGAAAAATTCATTGTTTAGGGGAAATGATAGCCGAATTTGTATGGCCACTAGACTACCGTCTGCACGAAAATAGAATCAGGGACGTATTCCCGTCTTGAACAAAAGATTTTTTTTTCCACAGCGTCCAGACCGGCTCTAATTTCCATACAGCCTTCTAATCAATGGATACAAAGCTCCCTATGAAACAAACAAATACAAACTCCGTGGCTTTATTCCGCAAGTGAACTCTACCGACCGAGCGACCGACGCTTATCGGCGAAGTTAGTGCCAACTTTATAGGATAGAGGGTGTCGCGTGGTTGGAGCAACGAATCCCCACAGCCATTAATCTCGGATTTCTTGACTGGACAGAGCTCCCTATCACAACGTGTAAAGCGGCCGGGTCGTGAAGCTGCCAACTCGCGTATATCTAATGCCGAGATTATGTATGCGTGCAACTATAATCCCCTCCCCTGTAGATCTTCATCGTGTGTTGCTTAACTATGCACGGGGACGGCCGTTTATTATAATTTATATCGTGTCGTTGGCCGTAATATTGACTTGAACCTTGAAGAATTCTGACGGTCTAAAAGACACTTGGAGGAATTAGGCAACCGTCATGTGTTTATCTCTTTCTGAGAAGGAAGCGTGTCAAAATTATATTTTAAAACCCACTTCCTACCACAAGTAAAACACATTATTTTTCCATTAGGAAATACTAACCTTTAAATATAGCTCAGAGAAAAACTCACTCTTTATTCCAAAAACCATAAGAAGCCACTAAATACGAGTGTAATCTGCGGACAAAATGTAGAGTTTTTAGTGTTAAAGAAGGCGGTACATGACTACAGTGCCTAAAAAAGTTTTTAGGTTGAGTCATTTTTAGATAGTTACATATGATCATTACATAATCATTAGAAAATGACGGTCCTACAGACTCATCGAAACAGAATGCCGGGAATACAGGAACCTATCTTTAAAAACTGTTGAACATATCGAAATGATTCAAGTTCTAAAAATCGCCACACCGGACAGGGCTTTTTCTTTTGCAAGGTTAAGAGGAATTCATATACGATATTGGTGGGAAAGCCAGAAGGAAAGAGACCACTGGGAAGACCAAGGCGTAGGTGGGTGAACAATTTTATAATGGATCTTAGAAAAATATGATGGGATAGAATGGATTGGATTGATCTGGCTCAGAATAGGGACCAGTGGAGGGCTCTTGTGAACATGGTAATAAGCCTTCGGGTTCCATAAAATGCTGGGAAATTCTTGAGTAGCTGCAGATTTTGCTTCTCCTCAAGAAGGGCGCAGCTCCATAAGTAAGTAAGTAAACAATATTATATTTAAGCATCCTGTTGTACTCTATACGATATATGATATAAGTAAGTAGGGTTGCCTACTCAAAGTGTGACGTTTCCTTAGACGTGTCTTAGACAATGCTCTACGAGTAACCACACATGAAAATGAATAAGGGCAAATATACTATTCTAGAAGACAGAGAGACCTGATCATAGCTCACAGAGCTAGACCCTAGTTTCTCACACTGGAGCACTGGGTTCATTCCCATGTTATTACGAGTATATGAGATTCCTGGCGGATACTGTGCCACTGAAACAAATATCTCTCCGAATTTCTTAATTTTCCCTTTCACAACCTTAATTCCACTACTGCTGCATATAGACCCATCACCGCACCCTGAGGTTGCGACAGCGCTGACCAGACGACACATTGCCGCATTATCAGTTTTCGAGTTTCAGACTTCATATCTGACCCAGTACTTGGCTGGTTACAGGGTAAAAAGTTCTTTATATAGAGAAATATAAAGAATGGTGACATTAAGCAAATTATTTTATGTGGGAGGTCTCGGTTTCGAATTTCGGCTCTATTGTCTTCTCTGAGATAGTCTCGAACTTTCATCAGTTCCTCGAAGAAAATTCTACCACCTTAAATCTCACGTCGGCAACTAGTAGTTAGACATGTTCGTCTGCATTCTGAAGATCCATATTTCGAATCTTGATTTCAAAGTCGAATATCCCGTAAGAGGAAGAATAATGAGTCACTTTAGATAGACTGTGAATGCTTCCTTGCACATGTTACCCAATTTAACGTTCATAATTGTCTTGAATTCTTCATGTGTAAAACATAACTTCATAATCCGCAGGATGTATCTGGCGGCTGGCGTAGATGTACAGGGTGTTCAATCAAGGAGGGAACTTCGCAACACCTCTGACCGGGCTCAATATTCCTCACAGATTGCTGCTGTAACTGTAACTGCGCGTGTTTGTCAGCACTAATGACTCATTCTGCTGTCAGCAGTTACAGCAGCAATCTGTGAGGAATGTTGGGCCGGATCAGCGGTGTTGCGAAGTTTCCTCCTTAACTGAACGCACTGCACAAGGTGGAAATGTAAGGCTTTCTTTTTCATGAATAAATGTTATTAACCAACTGATGAATAAAGGAATTACTAAAGAAACCGTGGGTAACATTCCTACATCGTGAAGACTTCTATTTGTTTGGGGGGATATATATCGCCACTTAATCCGCTGAAAGTGAAACGACGTTTCGGAGGATCATATTACCTCCATCTTCAAGGTTGAAGAATAAGCCAAGTACAGCCTGCCTCCCGTTTTATGCTAGTTTCTTGCTCGGCTTAATCTTCTACACTAAAGATGAAGGCGATATATTCCTCCGAAACGTCAGTTGACTTTCAACAAACTATAAGGCATTGTATCCCAGGAGACAGAACTTATAATTACCGCTATAATGAGTTCAAATACTACAATCTTATTCCTTGTTCGAGAGGTCCCGTGTTCAGATATCGCGCTGTGGACGCGTTATAGTGCTGAATGTTCTACTGATTTTCCTCAGTACATACAGGCAAATTCCTCAGACTCTGTCACATCCTTTCACAGTTCATTATTCCCCAGTCATCTTATCAATCGACACTGGGTGGTCTGAACTGCCAACGACATCGTTATGTAAATCACTAATCAATACATTTTCATGTAAGAAACGCCGGCCATATGAAAACTAATCTTACAAGTAAGTGTCGGAGATGCCTGAGGGCATTATTTTTGTGAAGGTTATGCCGAGAGACACTAGGACGTGTATTTCTGAGCAAACCTAGAAACGAGACAGTTACTTACCTGAGGCAGCACTTGTCTGAAACGGCTGACGCTTTTGTCTTGTTTCTGGTTGCTTTCTCTGGGCCTGTCCATTCCGGCAACGATCTGAATTCTGTTTCCTGGTGTCGTCATCATCTCCAATTCGTGTCCGTCTTTCCTGTAAAAATATAGGTATTCCCTATGACATGTATCTGTGTGGTCAAAGCACAGGTTTCCTATTAGTTTAATGTTACTTTAATGTAGCAAAAACATTTTCACTTAACGCCAGGACTGTCAGTAGAGTGTGCGCAGCGTGTTCATCGCACGCGGGCACCGTGAGAGTAGATACAATGTCACAAATACAGACAAGTTCCAAATTAGTTTAAACTATTGCCACATCCAGACAACTTGTTTCCATGGAAATAGGTAAAGTTGTCCCTGTGCTTAACTAATTAAACATTACACCCGGGGGAAGTGGGCGTATAGATCCACGTTTACTTGACCTCGGCACCAGCTGGAGTTGAGTGGTCAGCTTCACGCCTCGGCCGTTTTTCCCCTGGGGAAATATACCACATTACCCATTTGATAGGAAGCTGATTGGGCCACAGGGCCTGTCTGGACTACGTGGACAAAAGAAAATTCTTTACCATTCTGGGACTCGAACTCCTATCCCTCTGTCGTACAGCTCGTAGCCAGTCTCCATACCGACTGCGCTATCCTGCTAAACGCATTTTTAATATTATTGCTTCCGTTCGCAACGGGTTTACGAATATGCGCTATTCAAGAAGCGACCAACTCAAATTTGTGTACTCTATTTTTTTTTCTTCCAGCCGAGCTACATGTTAAATCCGTTATAACCGCCTTCAGTGAAATGTAAGAAAAAATTAGAAGTGTTCCCTGTGTTACGTAAGCACTATTTCATGAACTAGTGAACACGCTAATAAACCTTCAGGTTCCACGAAATGTTGGGAAATTCTTGTGGCTACACAACTGGCGGCTTCTCAAGAAGGGCTCAGCTACACGGATTTAGTTTAGTTAGTTAGTTGCCGTGCCATAGCTCAGGCGGTTAGTCGCCGGCTTCTCACTGCGGCGGCCTGGGTTCGAGCCCATGTAAGGTCATGTGGGATTTGTGGTGGACAAAGTGGCAATGAGGCAGGTTTTCTGCGAGTACTTCGGTTTCCCCTGCCAATTCTGATTCCACGTTACAATACGAATTGTTTTCGAAATTCTATACCTGTGAATCGCTTCAACAGCCATGACTACTACACATATTGACAATAGTACGGAGTAAATTCCGTACATTTGATTATCCTGTCACGCCCGCAACAGGAAATTGTTGTGGAGGTGGATTTAATTATTGCATTATCTATCTGGGAAGTGAAAGTCTTGCCGTGGCATTCTGGATAAGCAGCTGAAATGCTACACGGACGGAAACCAATTCCTATTTCATTCAGTAGATCTGATCGGTGATAGGGACACAAGGTGAGCCGCCCATTACGTACCTGTCGGCCTTGACATGTCCTGGATCTGACTCTAGTCTGATTAACTACCAGGAGCTGGAACCTCCCTTCATAGCATAGTGGTTACAACATGTACCACGTGCTTTAGCATTCAAGAACTCTGCCAATTGTCAGAGAATCAATGTCCATTGTTTTCATATAATCCCCTGAATAGATGCATATTATTTCTATAAACATAATGAAACTGAAAAATTCCGTCTTCTGAGATGTGACGACGTGTATACCTTGTGTGAACCGACGTTTCGGAGAAGCGTATCACCTCCATTTCCTCCGAAATGTCGATTCACACAGGTATACACAGCGCTACATTCCAGAAGATGGCATTCTTCATACTTACCGCCGTGATAACCTCAAGTCTTACAAAATAAATCTGTTGGTTTATGTAATGGAGAGATAACATGTTTATGTGAGGTTGTAATTGGATTTTTAATAAGATTTAGACAAATTTCGGGTTTCAAATTTTTACGGGACATATAATCGTTCAGCTGCTCTACTAACCCCACCCTTTGTCAAACTCAAAATTGCGTTACCTTGCCCACATGAACCCACCGCTGACTGTCTCATAATTCAGATAAATACATTTCAACATTTTGCACTGTAAAACTATTATTTATCATTATTCTCCCACCCACGCCAAGGCCTCTCCCAATTGGACTCTTTTATTCAGGTTTTCCAACTACATTCTTTCATGCAGTTATCATCTTCCTACACGTGCTACAATTCTAGCCACTCAATCCTCCTTGATTTAATTTCCTTAATGATGTTGGATGAAGAGCACAAACTCTTCTCAATCGTATTAAACGGTCTTCGATTTCTTACTCTCCGAAAGTCGCAATTTCTCGGTTACTGAACTCTGTCTGTTGAGTAAAGTTGTGGTGAGCTTACGGCAACACGGCAGCATCGTGTATTTAAAACTGTATATCTTCTCACTCAATTTTTTGTTACCTAGCAAATCTAAAATTCGTTGTTAAATAATCGATGAATCAGCAAATAATTCTAAAATAGAAATATAGAGATTTATCGGGGTAAGTGAGCTCGGGGATTGAACGCAGTGTCTCCAGAATGTGAAGCGTGTGAACTGGGTAACACCCCGCAAGGCTGAGACAGAGGGGTACGTAAAGCTGGCGTTAGGATGATGTCAGATCCGTGTATGGCTCCCGAGAGTATCAGGGTGTAGTGGAGTCGACAACACAACTCGTCTTCTCATCTGCTACCCAAATTTTGTGCATTCGCTCTTACACAAGACAGTGTTGAAATGAGCTCTGATTTAAGAATGGGATACTGAAAAGGATAAAGTTATATTGAATATGAAGGAGAGAAACACACCGAGGAAAGTTTACAGCTCAGTAACTGAGCAAGGGTTCAGGAGAATCAGAACTAAGCAACAATTGGCAGAATTACAGAAAGCTCCTGATTTGGTAGCTGATATTAAAAGAAGTTGGAAGTGGTCGCGGTATGTAACTATAATAGCTTAACCAATAGTGGTTAATAAATGTTTTGAATGTAAACCATGGCTTAGGAAAAATTAAAATGCCCAGATTTTGATTCAAGGATGATGAGATGGGCAGGTCATGTAGCACGAATGGGGGAGACGAGGAATGCGTATAGGATATTGGTGGGAAATCCAGAAGGAAAGAGACCACTGGGAAGACCAAGGCATAGGTTTGGTGGACAATATTAAAATGTACTTAGATAGGATACGATGGTATTGATTGGATTGGTCTGGCTCAGGATAGGGACCAGTGGAGGGCTCTTGTGAACACGGTAATGAACCTTCGGGTTCCATAAAATGCTGGGAAATTCTTGAGTAGCTGCATAATTGGCGGTTCCTCCAGAAGAGCTCAGCTCCGTGAGTAAGTAAGTAAGTAAGTAAGATTTTGATGGCAGGAACATGTGGAGAATGATATACGAGAGCTGAAGGCAAATTCGCAGTAGGCCGTAGAGCAGAAGAGTATGTAGGTTAGCTGAGGGCCATAAAGCAAATACTAACCAACTACTGTCAGAACGGAATTCTGTGCAGCGAAACGGCGGGGCTTCGTTTTACGGCCCCGCCCTTTCGCCGGGCCTTTGCGGCAACTTCTCTGACACAGCCGTAAGGCGTGACATCTAAGCAGTGGTGCAGGCATTAGCACTAACAGCAGTGCTGAGCGATATGTTTTCAAGATGTTTAGTTAGACGAAATAGGAGATTGGTACATCTGCTAATTCTTAAATTATTAAAACGGACTTGTGTTGAAGCATTTCTTAACAAGCAAAGAAGCATACTTATTTTCGTGCGTCCGCTCAATTTTATGGAATTATTTTGAAAAACTTAAAACGTACTGAAGTGTATTGCACATAAAATTTGTGTCCAATTTTTTGTACAATATTTATTTTGAATTTTTTTCTGCGTCAGTAAGTATTTATATGTTTTGCATAATACGCGAGCAGAAACCAATGTACAATTTTCATTAAAGTGTTCTTTATATTCGTCCTATTTTGGCCAAAACTTGAGTGTGTACATAAAGTGCAGTGGAACTCTGCGACATGAAAATTCACGAAAATCTGTTAAATTTTTTTCGAGTTATTACCTGCAAACTGATTGACTTATGGGCATACAGACAGGCATTGCTAAGTAAATAGCCTTATTTAAAAAAAATCACTGAAAAAACATATTTGTTTTCGCAATGTAACTTATATCCACCACTATTTAACGTCCGCCATCTACTGGAACCTTTGCTTCTTAACTGCGCTTTATCATCTAGATAGGTTACAAAATGTCGAGTTGTTGGAACATTCCAAGAATAATTTGACAATCTCTGACGGCATAACTGGCCACAGGCTCGGATGTAGAGACAATTACCAGATTACACGGCCATGAAAACCTCGAATCTTTTATATTCGCAACGACTCTTTAAAGATGCTACATCACCGTTTGCCTGAAGGGACTCCGGGGAGACTATGAGACACTTCGGACATAAACGAAAGTCTCAAGACCTAGAATTGAACCTGGAGTTTCCTGAACCACAGATCGACTGCTAGTCATAAAATGGCGAAGATAAGGCACATGAGAGAAAAATTATAATCGAATTTCAGATTTAGACTTCTTTATGATAGATACGTATGGACGAAACTTGTCTGCTTGCAATGTCACATTTGTCCACTTATCAGTCAGTCTGCTTGAGACAGTGCTTGGTGTCGGATCGGAGTGCCATGAGGGAGCTTCTTCCTCGATCCTCACCTGCCCACCTTTCGTAGCAATTTCAGTAACAGTTTTGTCACTCTAAGATACCATCATTTTTAGAGCTTGATAAAGCAGGACCGGCACGATTTTCATGGTGGAAAACTGTACAAACCATCTTCTCTCTTCCCTTTTGACTATCTCATACACATAGCATACATGATGAAGTACTTATGCACATTCACTTCCGTTTTAAATGTAAATTTATTTACAATTACGCTTTTACACAAAATTAAAAATTAATAATTAGGAATTTGCTACATGTTTCGGCCGTACTCGGCTATCTTCAGGCAATTTATCAAATTCCTGCACTGTATATACAATTAAATTAAGATTAATTATTTGTTGAAATATTTTAACTTAAGAAATAATTAATCTTAATTACAAAGACAAAAATAGCACCGTCCAGTGTGACTATTTAAGTTTTATCACTTGAAAACTCATCACCCTTACATGTTTCGATCCCTACGGATCATCCTTAGAGGGCATCAATACTTTTTCCGGAAACTACTATTACAATAGGTGTTCAATTATATACATACGCGTATAATGTCTGAAATACACAATGTACACAATGTTCAACTTTTCACAGTCACAGCAGCCTTCCTGGTATTAACATTTTTAACATTTCTTAAAAACTTTGTTGTTTAAGATTAAAATTTATAAACCATGCAGGTTCGTGTCAATTCTCCTATTGCTTTTCTTGGAGGTGGCTGATCTTGTGCCGTCTATCTTGAGAAATGAGATTCTTAGTATTGTCCATGTTTATTCATGGCTTGCTGTGTTGTTATTTTTGTCTTTGTAATTTTAGTGTGACGGACCAGAATGAAAGAAATCAAGATCTTATTTACCTTGAAAGTACAGTTCACCAATTTGACAACTCAGACAGTTGCCTGAAGATGGCCGAGTACTGCTGAAATATGTTGCAATTCCTAATTATTAGTTTTTATCTTTATGTAAAGAATTAGTTTAAGTTAATTTGAATTTAAGAGGGAAGTGAATGTGTATAGGTGATACATTAACGCGACGGGATTCTGAAATACAATATTGTAGTCTTGAAAAGAAAATCTATCTGTAGATCTTGACAGAGTTACACGTTATATTTTGGGATGCCGTCAATCCGCCTGCCTGTAAGCACGTGCGTGATATGTGTGACTTGTTAATGTTTCAACGTCCGAGTGATTTTCTTTTTCGCGTTAAAGACTTCATCTTTCCTGGGTCGATGTTCGGTGAATATAAATGCTAGAACTCCAAAAAAGGGGCTCTTCAGATATACCCCCAAAATATGAAACGACGATTTTCTCAAAAACAGCTCTAATGATTTTGGTTCTATTTTAGGGTACTATATCCCTACATTAAATTACATGGGTGTCCTATTTTGCAAGATATCGATGGGAGTACAATGGGCTCAAATTTGAAATGTCGAATTTTTCGAAACCAGTTTTACCGGTCAGACGAATTAGATTGTTATGCTGCATTCAGCAATCAACAGTGATTTCCCAAGTAACAGTTGATTTCGTTTCCAAGGTAACCTGGTCAAGGCAAGTCGTATATGAGAAAGTATGTGCAGTGTCTTTCTGAATATGTATTTCTTACTTCGCTGCTAGTTAAATGAAAAAGAAACGCGCTGCACTTAACCACCATACGACAAAAGCGCCCATTGGCTGGCAATCGTCTAAATAAGTTCTGTAACCAATGATGGCTTTTGACGCCGTCCAGGAAATTTCATGTTATTTTGACGAAGTTTTGAAAAAATATATATGTTTTTAATTGAGGGACAGGACGGTTGAATTTCCCATCGCCTGAGCCGGCATTTTGGCTTCGGATACAACTCACTCAGCAATGGGCAGATATCTGCTGAAAGCACTAAAGTTACGTTTCCAGAATCAAGATTTTCATACTTATCCTGAAACATTTCTTTCTGGGTATCGGTAATATTCTTGACACGCTCTTCAGGCCTGAAAATAAAAAAACATAAAGCGTCAGTACTTACGACATTGTAGTCATTGCGTCCGCTTGCGGCCACTGTCTGCAGACAACTGAGTGGTCAGCGTGTCAAGGCCGGATCTGGTCACTCGGAGAAGCGGCCTTGGAGCTGGACCTAAAGCAGGAACCAGCTGTTCGGGCCTTCCCAGTGCGTGGAGCACTAAGTAGGAAGGAAAGGTGTGTAGGCCTGCTCCCGTGAAGTGAAAGTGATCATCCCGAGGCCTTGCCTCTTTCAATATTTCAGTATACTTGCCCAATTGAAATGATATATAAGGGATTTCAAGGTAACACTGCGGTTCTTACGGTTAATGTGATGTATCTCTAAATTTGAAAACTTTAAAAATGACATAAATATTGTATTTGAAGCCTTAAACAGATGGTTCGAAGCCAATTTACTCTCATTAAATTTTGATAAAACCCATTACATATCATTCACAACTAAAAACAACCACCAAATTGATCTGGACATCAGTTATGCCAACAAATTAATCTGTAAAGTACTTGATACAAAATTCCTTGGAATACATGTAGACAGTACACTGTCTTGGAAAATACATATTGAACAAATTATACCTAAATTAAATGCAGCTTGCTATGCGATGAGATCAATTAAGCCTTTTATGTCACAGGAAACATTGAAGATGGTTTACCATGCCTACTTTCATTCTATTATGAACTATGGATTAATATTTTGGGGGAACTCTTCACATAGTGTAATAATTTTTAAAATACAAAAGAATATAATTAGAATCATTACAGGATGTAGAAGTAGAGATTCATGTAGAGAATTATTTAAGAAATTAAAAATTCTACCTCTTCAATCGCAATACATATTATCGCTTCTCTTATTTGTTGTTTACAACAAAGATAAATTCAAATTAAATTCTGATGTCTATAACATGAATACTAGACAAAAATATAACTTCCACCTACCCTCATCAATTTTATCAGTATATCAAAAAGAGTCTACTTTACTGGCATAAAAGTGTTCAACAATCTGCCACAAAGTATTAAAAACTTGGGCAATGATACTAAAAAGTTTAAATCAGAGTTAAAGAATTATCTACATGCTCATTCCTTCTACTCTTTAGATGAATACTTCAATGTAAATAGAGAATGATGTAAAATTAAGTTAGATTAATTTTTAAGCTAAAATTGCCTGTACTTGTGTATGTAACATTTTGACTTGTTCTGTATCCAAAGGTACTAACCTACTTAGGATTTATAGAATGTAAATAAATTTAATTCAATTCAAACGTTTCGGATGAACTTCTGCTTCTATCTTCAGGCTTTTCTACACTATCTGTGTCTGTAAGGCGTCGCATCCTTGAAGACTGGAGACCTGTAAGATAACTCCAATAACTGGGATTTGTTCTCGGCAGTTCGGGACGTTTGTGGAAGTCTAGTTATATTCTGTTATGTTTTCTTCTTCCAACTCAAAGTATCGGCGCTGCTAGACATTAACATTAACATTAATATTATTATTCCATGTGCTAAATCTCATGTCCGTTTTCCTTCGTTTAGTTGTTAAAAAACTAAGTCTGAAGTCCTGAGTAACAGCTCGTAATAAACTTTTTAACGGCGAGAAGCTGTAAACCCTACGCACAGGCCACAATCTGGTGGATCACCCCTTGTCGACTCTCCTTGGCTACTTTTTCAATATACTTGAAGCTACGCTCCATATCTCGAGGCCTTCTCCTCCATCCGCAACCTGAGGACGCGCCATGCCGTGGTGACAAGGGACCCACCTAACATGGAGAAACAAGAAGGGGTTGTATTGACTAGATTCATCTGGCTCAGGATTGAGACCAGCGGTGGGTTTTTGTGAACACAGTAATGAACCTTCGGGTTCCATAAAATTTGGGAAATTGTTAAGTATGTCAGTGACTGGTGAATTTTAAAGAAGGGCTTGGTTCCACTGTGTTAATTAAAAACTGGTGAAGATATCGCTGTAACAGGTCATGGAGGCCCATAGGGTTGTGAGGCATTTTCTAGACAATCGGCTGACAAATGGCGTTGAGGTTGTCAGCCTTATGAGCCGGCGGCCCTTTACCACCAGGAAGATTTTTGTTACTCATTTCTGTTAGACGCTGATTCGAACCCAGGGGCCCTAATGCGGCTGGAAGGATTTGGCCATTAGAAACATCTAATAACTTCATCTAGAATCGACCCCGCGACCTTCCTGCCTGTGGCATAGTACCTCAACCAACTACACTATTGCGTGCCCCCTCCACTAAGTTAGCATTAATATTAATATAAATATACTTATTTACTACTGTCTTTTAAGAGATTAATTGTCTTTTATTGCGGCTTATGATTTGGCGTTGAAGCCTCGAACAGTCATGAATGAAGAATATGGAATCTTAATTACCTCCGTGATGTTGCCAATGCATTAAATTAATTTTAGATTCATATTATAATAACTAAGACTGTAAAGCTGCAATCCTTACTGCAGTGCGTACAGTTTACACGTGCCTTGTTTTCACCTTACCATTCTGCGTGCGCGTCCATGTGTGTCCGTACATTTCATAACTTTAAAATTCATCACTAAAGTTACCGTGGATGCTACTAGTCATCATGGTTATAATATTCCGTAATGGCCCTAATGTTGTTCCCACCTCATAAGTTCGTATGTCCGATAGGTTATTATTAGGGACCGGATTTTAATGCAAATGCATATTTCTTTCTTGCAACCAGAAAGTATGCTCGTTTGGATATATGTATGAATTACTTCATTTCTTAAATTTTGGACATGGTTTGATGGTGCATATAAATGCATATTTTGCCTGTTTTATGAATAAGCATCATATTTTCGAAGATCTCTATTTATACTGCATATTTCATTTTTAAAATGTTTATAATATATATTTTTTAATTTTATGTTCAAATTTTCACTCATAGTAGTGTGTGTACGATTTTAGCCGGTAAACATACTCAGCTACCAAGTAAAAAATCACTAACATTGGAGCAAATAGCGGATTTTGTACACGTGCCCCTAAGTTCCTGTGAGGTGGAAAGAAGTTTTAACCCGCTATAAAGACATCTCACGAGACAATAGGGGCAACTAACTATGGAATATCTCAAACATTTAGTAATTGTGAACTGCAACAGAAGAGAAGTTGAATGTTCGGAGAGCAAAATGTGAGTACCATTGGTTTTTTAAATTTGTAATGAAATATGTTGGTTTTGTTGCATGATTTGTATTTAAGTATAGCATTTTATTGCAAGTGAAACATTCAATGATTGCGTAAAATGAACTTAAGTACTGATGTGTTGGTCTTAAAATAATGTAAAATCAATTTTAATATTGTGTACAAATTTTTATATGCATATTTTAGTGCATATTTCGGAAGTTTTTCATGCATAAATGCATACATATTTAAAGGGTTATTAGGGCATAAAAATCCGGTCCCTAGTTATTATACATTGTAGGAAATCAGAAGCAGGAATTTCAGGTGACTTTCAGTGAATTAAGGTGCATATATAATTTCATCAGGATCTGCCCTACTATTTACAAGTTGAAACACACGGACGGACAGGACAGATGGACGGACGTAATCAAGCGCACATGCGTTATTTTCTTGCGTGTTATACTTAGAACGCACAACAACCAATTAACAGCACTGAAATGATGATACGACAAATGCTGCTGTCTTTCTCCTGGCCTGAACAAAAAATGCCCAGTCAGAAACTTTCCTCACTCTGCGGTTTTCCTTAACTTATACAGCGATCCGTGGATTCTTGGTGACTAATGAAACTTCACCTTGATACTAATGAACCCAATCGTAAGCTGAACTGGAGCGGTTCATAAGCTGCCAACGCCATCTGCTTACAGTCTTAGTGAACAGCCAGTTATCAAGTAGTTATTTTATTTACGATTTATTTTAACCTTTAAAAATTGTTGAAGAGAAACACAGCGAATAAATGAAGTTTCGGGTGGCGTTAATGAGCACACTGAATTTGGGGACGGAGGTAGCGACAATTTCCGGTTTTTAAGGTTCGCAGGCAGTGCTCGCTACTCCTTCTGATATGGGTACGTTTGAGGGAGGGTAAAGCTTTCGGAAGTGAAAAAGGTAAAGTGCTCTTTTTTAATGCTAGTGGGGTGGGAATAAGTCCCTTTTACTGCAGCCACTTCTGGACTATTCTACCAGCCCCAGATAATAGGTTAGGTTGATTGCGGAGCAATTGGTAGAATGAAGATTGGCAGGGGAAACCGAAGTACTCGGAGAAAACCTGCCCCAGCGCCACTTTGTCCACCACACATCTCACTTGACCAGACCCCGGGATCGAAACCGGACCGCCGCGGTGGGAAGCCAACGACTAACTGCTTGAGCTATGGCACGTCCCAAGGTAAGGTGTTAGTACATGGAAAGATTTCCTGGTACCCATTGTAGAGGAGGATAATATTTTCAGAAGACAAGGGCAGAAATAGATTCTAAAGGGCTCTGACGATGGTGTATAACACTCTGAATTACTGGGTTTTTGGATTTTGTCCATCGTCTGCCATTATAAAAAGAAAATGGAGAACTCAGAATTTCGGAAACTGGAACTGACTGAGGTTAGCTCTTTCTAAGGGCGTGGGTGTCTTCCCTCTCACCTGAGGACGGAAATAGATCCAGTTTCCGAAACTTTGTATTCTCTAGTAATACGAATATCGGAAGATGGAGAAAGTCCAGAATTCCAGTAACTATAAAGGCAGAAATGTAACAGCTACCAGTAGGAATAACCACAGCCTGACCGGTAGATCTGTTACTTCATCACGGACGGTAACCCTAGCGACTGGCTACGGGCTGGATGATTGAGGGGTCGGTGTTCGAGTCCTGGTAAAATCAAGGATTTTCACTTCTCCATGTCGTCCAGACTGTCTGTGGAGTTCACACAACCTCCTATCCAAAGGATACCGGGGGTTCTTTCCCCGAGGACAATGCTGCCGGGGCGTAAAGCTGACCACTCACCTCCGATTAGTGCGAGGTTAAGAAAATGTGGATCTATACGTCCACTCCCCTATACGCCTTCATGGTGTACTGCTGAATTAGTTAAGCATACGGACATATTTACCTTTGATCAAGTCAAGGAGGAAGAGGTGGGCAGGTCATGCAGCACGAATGGGGGAGACGAGGAATGCGTACAGAATATTGGTGGGAAAGCCAGAAGGAAAGAGACCACAGGGAAGACCAAGACGTAGGTAGATGGACAATATTAGAATGGATCTTAGAGAGATAGGATGGGATGGTATGGACTGGATAGATCTGGCTCAGGATAGGGACCAGTGGAGGGCTCTTGTGAACACGGTAATGAACCTTCGGGTTCCATAAAATGCTGGGAAATTCTTGAGTAGCTGCAGAATTGGCGGCTCCTCAAGAAGAGCTCAGCTCCATGAGTAAGTAAGTAATTAAGAAGCCCCTGTAGGAAACATTATTTATGAGCGTCCTGGGTATGGGCACCGGTTGGGAGGAGAAGTGGGAAAACTCAGGGCTCTGCCCCTTCCCCTGGATTTTGAGGGGAAAATCGCAAACTGGAATAGAAAGGAACACACCACATACGAATAAGCAAATGTAAATTATTTTTAAAAAATGTGTTCGTCTATCCTGAACACACTAGAGCAATCAGTGAAAACATGCTTAAATGGCTAAAATTATGTTTGTGAGAACATTTCTGTCTGCGCCCTTCTTCCTTGAAATCTGGTTTCCTCTTCTAAGAACTACTGGAGACGTCTGCCTCATAGCGTCTTTCTTCCCACCGCGGTGGCCCGGGTTCGATCCCGGGTCTGGTCAAGTGGGATTTGTGGTGGACAAAGTGGCGCTGGGGCAGGTTTTCTCAGAGTACTTCGGTTTCCCCTGCCAATCTTCATTCCACCGATTGCTCCACAATCACCCTCACCTGTCATCTAGGGCTGGTACAATAGGCCAGACGTGGCTGCAGTACAGGGGACTTAGTCCCACCCCACTAGCAATAAAAAGAAACGAACAGAACCCTTTGGAATCTACTTAATGATCTTCCTAGTATAGCCATGAGGGCTTGCATGGATTATTTACAGTATTAAGAATATTAAGAATATTGGGGCGTAGCCCTCTGAGCAATCGGTGGAATTTGGAACTCTTCTGCTCCATGAAATTTTTGATAGCCGCAAGAGTATCCCTGGAGATGGAGGCCGGAGATTCCTTTGAAACATTTGTACTTATGAAGAAAGCCTCAAATCTTACATTTGTACTTATCTAACCGGATTACATGGTGCCACATTCTCCAAGACAGTAATTTTCATAATGGCCTTAATGAGAACGTGAAGCCTCAAAAAGAAGTGGACCAGAAAAACATACGGCGAGAAACTACTTTGTTAAATTATAACCTCTTGGGAAGCCATTATACTTCTTTAAACTCAAAATAAAACATATTATTATTCTGTTTATAGATAATTGGGACTTTATTAGCACTAATCCAGATCACTTGCTACATTAGCGCAAGGTTTCTATAGTTGCGCCTGTACAGTAGAGTTCTCGCGGGAGCAGCAACTGTCTTTCTGCAGTCTCAATCGTCTCAATCATCTGTGTGGTTCGCTAGCTTTGCTAGTATGCTGAAATAGTGCTTCTCTGGTGCGGCCGCACGTTCTGTATGGGTGCTGCCATCTGCTGTCTCATATCCGTCATATTTGGCTGGCCGTCTGTACAGAGTACTAACTATTACCGCTAGATGGAACATAGATTTTTCCCGTCCTTCGCTCCCACAGGTGAAATGTGTTGAGACATATTTAAGTATAGGAAGCTGGAAAGCACATATTTAGAATCGTACTTCACAGGATCATTTCTGTAGTACGTATTCTCACACTTGACTATCAACAGTTGAGTAGATTACTACCACGATGACGAGTGATAGGAACTTTTCCTGAGCGTGAGGCAGATTGGGAGGTGCCGGAAGGTGTTTCGCAATCATCGATGATCGTTCAGATTCGAGTAATCGGATCCGAGGGAAGAGTTCCGTTCTGAGTGGTATTTAAACATAACTGTTTGAAATTTTTATCGCTGCAAATTTTTTTTTTTAAGTTTCTGCAGCGCCATTTGTTTTTAGTTGCAGTTCGAAGGAACTGGTATAATCTGTTCATGTACGGGTAGGAGTTCCGAGTCTTTGCAAAGACAATAATTTTTCTGAAACGTCGGTTAACATCACATATACACGATCCCAAATTCCAGAAGACTGCTTTCTTCATAGTCACCGCCGTGAAAGCCTCATATCTTACAAAGAATTTTTATTGTTCACTTCGTCTAGTGTGGCTACTGTCCTCCTGACAGGTATTAATTAATAATCAGAATCGAGATCAAGTAAACGTGGATCATTATGCATGCATTTTTCCATTCTCTTTCATGGTCGAATGCTTAATTATTTTAAGCACCGCGACAGTTTTTCTTTCTTTTCTTTTAAGTACGTGGTATATTGCAGTTGGGTTATTCCATGTGTAGTCATACAGATAGGACGCTCGACCATTTAAAAAAATATTTCGTACACTTATTTGTACATCTACATATTTTCATACTTCAAAAATATTACAAAAATTTAAACCGCTCGGATTTCCCGGTACAGCCGTTTTTATAATGCGAAAATAACACGTTTCCGGCTGTAGAGGCCTGAAAATGTACGCCTGTACGTACTGCTCAGAACGACAAAAGATAAATCTCTCGTCTTTTATACCGAATAAATAACCACTAATACCACTGGATGCAGGTAAGCCAATTGTTGAGATGTTAGTCTCTTTGATAAAATTCAAAGTGCCCACAACTTCGCTATTAGTAGAATATCAAAGTTGTACTTTTAACACCAAATTACTCTAGATTAAAGCATTAGTTCCACGAATTTCAAAATTTTCTGAGCTTCCCCACCGGATATATAGGATGTTAAAAATGGCCGATTTTTGGGCCCAGAGCAAAGTTTGGAAACTCCTGGAAAATTTTGGAAGATACACAAGGGGTTCAAAACCACGTGATTATATTCCCCATGTAGACAACGACAAAGGGCAGAAACCATAGATCTGATACTTTCCCCTTCCCATTGGTTTTTGAAGGTCAAATATAGTTTGTTTTTTCACAAACGATAGGTAAGATTCAAGCTTAATTAGACCTAGAGGAAGTGAGTTGACTCGTAATGACATGAATTGTAGTCCATATCATGAGGAACAAATTGTTTCTATTGGAGTCTCTAGCTTCAATAGTTATCGAGATATAAAAGGTAACGCAAACCTCCATTTCAGCCGAAGGCGCGTTATTTTCGCATTATGAAAACGTCTCTAGCGGGTGAAACGAGCGGATTAAATTTTGCAATATTTTTGAAGTAAGAAAAATGTAGAAATAAGTGTACAGAATATATATATATATTTTTTTTAAATGGTCGAGCGACCTATCTGGATGACCTCACATGGAATGACCCAGTTGTAAGAGTAGATAAACAAGCTATATTATTGAAGAAAGCAGTCTTCTGGGATTTGGCACCGTGTATATGTGGTGTTAACCGACGTTTCGGAGGAACGTATCGCCCCCATCTTCAGGGTAGAAGAAAAAGTATAAGAAATCTGCAAGCGACAACACCGTGAGAAACGGTAAAGCAGACCCG